ATTTTAAATGGTTTAGAACTATATATAGTATACTCCTCTCTAATTTAAAATGTAGGTTATCTTTCAAAAACTTCATCTTGATCCAAAGTTATAAAGGATTAAAATTTATTTATCACTCTGAAATATTTACATTCAGTATCCCTTATTTAATCCTTTTACTAACCCAGACTTATATTTTAGTATTAGGCTTTGCCAAATTTTAAATAATGTGACTTCTTTTAACGCACTTACGTGTTAAAGTTTTAATAGAAACAAGATAAAAAGAAAAAGTAATGAAAAAAACCCGCATATTTAAAGTGAGAGGCAGAAATAGTGAAACTCCAGCCTGTCTTCGATTAAAGGAGTTTTGTATATTTTCCAACTACCAAAAAAAAAAAAAACAGAGGCAATTTATTATATGTTCCCCACCAACAGGTGTTGGATCTAGCAGAAAGGGCTAATTCCTCATAAGGTGGCGAATCAAGATTCGAATCCTTGCTGGGAGAGATGCCTATATTTAGTGTTCGAGAGTGCTTTGAATATGATTATCTCCAATAAGAAGATACTTATGCTTTAGCCAAAAAAAAAAGTATGATCCCCACATGCTGATGTGGTTGCCTTCCATTTTTATCTGGCTGCCTCCGAACTTCTCTATTTTGAATGTGTAATTTTCATTATGAGCAAACTGAAAGATCATCTTATTTTAAATCTTATCTGGGTTGATAAAGTATCTTTCATCATGAAAGTAGCTTATTATCAACAATCTTCAACAATTACTTGGGAGGAGATTCTAGCTCTTCTTCGTCATTTTCATATTCTTCTTATTAAATTAATTCATTTTAATATATCTTTTAGTTTTTGTGGATGATAGTCTTTTTTTTCCCCTTGTTTTATTACGTGTAAACTTTGTTGATTTTAATATATCATTTTTCCTTTTCTTAAAAAAAATGAAACTTAGATATTAAATGGTTAATTTAAAAACTCAACTAACTTAAAAAAATTAGTAAAGCATAAGTGGCGAATCTCAATTTAAACCCTTTTGGATTAAATTTATAATTCATTTTATATATATGATAAAATTTTAGTTTTGTTAAAAATAATTAAAACACCCCTCTTTGTGCTAAATATTACTATCTTCAGTCTTTTTTTTTTTGGTTGCCCAGAGTATCCTCCCGAACGGTAAGAGACTAATCTCTCGGGGTACTGTCAGGCGCCGTAGCGGGGACCCCTCCCAACAGTGCTTTTTCCATACACACCGCCCTAAGAATCGAACCTAGGACATGATGTTTAATGGGCCCAAGTCCCTTCCACTTGGACCAACACTTGTTGGTACTATCTTCAGTCTTTAATACAAGAGATAGTTGGAGATTCCATTTGGTTTTAAATATAAAACTTCAATCCACTTTATTTTTTATTTATTTATTTTTGTTAAAGTAATCCCTATGATAATTATACATATTAAAGATTTTATGATAGGATGATTCCAATACATATGATTAACAAGAGTATTTTATTAAAAAAAAAGTTAGAGAATCAATTTTGTCTTAAATATAAGATTCTAATATATTTTGTTTCTCTCATTTATCTATTTTTCCTAAGTAGTCTTTATGGTCATTATACATGTTAAAACTTTTATGACAAAGTGATTCCAACATATATAATTGACAATGATATTTTAGGAAAGATAATATCTATTTATCACAAATAACTGACTTAACTAAGTTTTTTAATATTTGCAAACTAATTATCTACCTTTTGTATTAACGATCAGACATAGAATTTTTTAGCTAAGACTTTGGTTGGGTCAAAATTATTTAAAATACCTATGATAATCAATAGTTGCAAATCAATTTTATAAATTATAATTCAAGAAGATATATATATTTTTTCATGTATATGTATTCTCTTATTACAGGTGTTCTTATTTAAGACACCGTGATCAAATATTAAATGTGAGTATTTTTTACAATAGAATTTGAACATTAATTTGTCACACCATACTAAAGCCAATATAAATATTGGTCCCAAGCATAACTTCATTGCCCGCGCCCCTTCATGTTCGTGTTCGCAATTGCAAGTTGTCTTGTCAGAGAATTATTATGAAATCATAAGTAAGAAATATAAATACTCAAAAATCTTATTAATAATAGAGCAACATGTAATAACAAATTTTAAAGTAATAAATCACAACCACTCATTTATTATTAGAACTTATTAGTAATTTTTTTTTTGGACCTCGTTGTAATTCTGCCTTATATTTTTCTTATTTGCTTACCATCTTTTTGTTTGCTTGAAGTTGCTTATCATAAATACATTTACACAAATCAAGACAATTTTTTTTGGCATACTTACCTTGTACATCGTAAATCATAATTGAAAATATGCCTTTGAAGGCTCCAATTGCCATTCCAAACAAATTCAAATTTTGCTGATGGTAATGTTCCCAGAATTGATATGCTTCAGAAATCCTATAGTATTGTTATGTTTCCACCATATACACACTCTAGTCCTTCACATAAGAGCTAAATAATTAATTTGAAAAAAATTTAAAAAATTAGTTAAGTAGATTATTTACTACAAATGTGTGTTGATTTTTCTAAACTATTCTCTTCAATCATATACACTTGCTCATTAGAAGTATTTTTTAGTAGGAACACTTGACAATCAACAAGGATATTTTGGATGAAGATGAAAGACAAAATAAATTAAGATCTTATATTTAGGACTAAGTTTAACTCCAAAAGCAAATATGATTTTCGTTTTTTTTTTTGGCCTGGAGTATATTTTTGTGTGATGACATATTCTCTTTTTAATTTGACAGATTCATTTGAGAAAGTATTTCAGAGACAATCTGTTTGGAATGTAGCTTTCATACTGCATAAGCTGAGAATTAGCTCAGAGCAAGAATGATGCATCTGTATTAAAATTTTGCTCCCTGCAATTAAAATGTCAATGGTTAACATTAGTTTTTTAACTATAGGAAAAAAAATTTGTTATGATTTTAAATTTTTGAGGAATATTTGCACCCAAAAAAAATTTCCGAGTACTTAGTCTTGTAGAATGAAAACTTTTGGGATGAAACAAACTCTATAATCTAATGCATTATACGGAAGAAGCAAAAATCATAAAGGAAAAGTGTTGTGCCAGTGAGTGCCAGCTGTGTCCTTCCCAGATTCTCCATGGTGTTGCTATTTCGATCTCTTCACTACTAGCTAGATATTGATCGTTCAGGTGTCTTGGACGGTTTAAATTAAATGTTCTGTAGTGATATTATTAAAAGAATTTAAATGGTTTAGAACTGTATTTAGTATACTCCCTCCAATTTAAAATATAAGTTATCTTCCAAAAATTTCATCTTGATCCAAAGTTATATACAAAGGATTAAAATTTATTTAGCACTCTGAAATGTTTACATTCAGTATCGAGTATTTAATCTTTGTGCTAACCCAGACTTACATGTGACTTTTTTTTTTGTTGCTAAAATATCAATAGAAACAGAATAAAAAGAAAAAGAATGGAAAATAAAAACACGTTTAAAGTGATTGAGACAGAAATAGTGAAACTCCAGCCTGTCTTTGATTAAAGGAGTTATGTATATTTTCCACCCACAAAGAAAAAAGGGGAGGCAACTTATCATATACTTGAAGGTGTGATTCAAATAAGGGCACGCAATGAAATCTAAAATCTTTACATCATTCTTTTTGTTCTTTCACTAAAAGACTTTTACACCGTTGAAATTGGTCAAAAAGGAGCCAGAGTCGGATCGCACATAAGTGAATTTATCCTTTTTCCCTCCTCAAAAAATCACTTTTTTTTTGTCAACTTCAAAAATGACTTCAAAACTGAGAAATATAAACATTAATTTTTATCTAATTAAATTATTACTAATATTTAATATAATTATCATAAATGTTCTCAAAGTTGTTGTTAACTGTTTATGGAATAATTCAGCTATGTTAAATTTATATAATTTTAATGGTAATGAATTACTACATTTAATCCTTAATATAAGATTTAGATAACAAATTTGTGGATAATAAAAAAATTAGTTAAATCAGTTATTTATAATAAATGGATGTTATCTTTTTTAAAATATCTCAATCAATCATGTACATTGAAATTACTTCTTCATGAAAATTCCTTAACATGTACAATTACTATAGAGATTACTTGGGAGCAAAATGAATAAATATTAGAGACAAAATAGATTGTGGTTTTATATTTGAGACCAAACTACATCTCAAATTACATCTTATATTGAGGACTAGAGATATTATAATTTAAAAATAAAATTGATGATAATTTAGGTGCTAATAATTTCACCTCATTTTTAATTAAGTCCTGGTGATTCTTTTCCCATTGGATAGTTATATATAATCTCCTTTGATTGATCTCTACACTCTCAAAGTCTCAATACGTTAATTTGTAAAACAACATTAGTAGCCAATAATTTGGCCTTCACTCAAGATATATTTTGCCACATAGATCTAAATAAAATCAAATTTAATTAGATTGCATATTATATATAGATGTAAGGAGACCATTATGATCATAATAATTTGTTATTTTTATGTTGTTAATAAACAATTTTTCCATCATTTTATTTTTAAAAAAAAATTTCATGTGTTTTGTCACAACTCATACTTGGATTACTCAGACACCCATCAGCTCTAATTAACAAATTAGGAATTGAGAAACTGAACTGCAAGGACGAATCGAAAGAAATAACTATAAGCATCTAAAATAAGATAAAACTATAATTAAAGACAAACAAATTAATTTTTTCCTTAAAATTTCTTAAAATAAATATTATGCCTCTGCATTTTCTTATTTATCAAGAACAACCTTTATCTTTATTCTTAACATAAAATATCATGACTCCGGAAAAAAAGAATGTAACATAAAAAAGCCTTTATCCTGCAATGTCCCAAAAAGATGCGCCTCTCTTCTGCCTCCATTATATATATGTGTGTGTGTGTGTATATATATATATATATATATTTAAACCGAAGTTGGTATCTTCAGTTTTCACTAAAAACTACAGAGACACTCGCTGAAAACAGAGGCACAGAGATTAACACTGCGCAACAAAGAGGCCATTTTCTGAACGGAGAAAACCAGAAACCATTATTCCAGGTTCAATAACTTTACGAGCCTCTTCTTTTCATGTTCTTTATTTTACCCTTTTTCCTTTCTCAAATATAAAATTCAGGTATTTAATTACTCTGAGTTCCTTGTCTCTTTCTTTACCATGATATTCTTCAGTTCCTGGCTCTCTAGTTTCATGTTCTTTCAGCAGAAGTGTTCGAACAGAGTACTTCGTATTATGATTCATCTTTCTTTAGAGCTTACTGATAACGGAACTAATTAACAAGAGCCTTTAAAATGTTTTTACTTCATTACTTGCTGCAACTGTTATATAAATTTGACGCTTATTTCTCACAAAGCCAGTGATTCCAGAGGGGAAAAACAGTAAGAAAACTCAAACATGCATGGCAAGAACTCCGATCATATGTAAATTATCTCTTGCCAGATCAAAAACTTTATGTTTATGGAACAAATATCTTGGTAAAGTTGCAGGAGGGTATTGTAGTAAATGTCTTCATAATATGCTTTAAATTTGTGGTCGACGCGCGCTATTCTCATAACCCTATCGCTTAAGAATATATTCCCTTCTTCTTCTTCATTTTTTCTTCTCCTTTCTAGTAACGAGCTGGTGTTTGTGTCTGTGTGTGTATATACCACCTCCGATCCTTAATATAAGGGTCAGTTTAACTTTTATTTTAATTCTAAATATATATAAGATTTTAATATACTTTGTCTCTTATATTTATCTATTTTTTTTCTCAAGGTAATCCTTGTAGTAACAGTGGTTTTAGCTAATACAGTTGACTAATAAGAATATTTTAAAAAAAAAAATATCTATTTATTACAAATAACCAACTTAATTAGTTTTCTTAGTTTATTTAAATTAATTAACTAACTGTTATATTAAAGACCTGAGATAGTATATGATAGCACCTTCATTTAGTTTTTGCAGTAAATGAAGGTTAATAATAGCATATTTTCTGTGAATTTCGCTCATAGGTTAGGATATTAATGGCCTCATCAAAGCCCATGTATGAGATGGTGAGTCACATTATCGACATAAATAAGGAACCAGAAGATCTGATGAACACATCCACGTGTAACATCTACAGAGTGCCTTGCAATCTTCGGAATCTGAACCAGGAAGCCTATACTCCTCAGTTGATCTCCATAGGACCTCTTCACTTTGGCCAAAAACATCTGAATCCAATGCAAAACCAGAAACTACGGTACTTCGGTTTTTTCTGGGCTCGTCTCAATAATAATAATAACAATGGGGAAGCCATGAAGGCCTACAAAGAGTACCTTGAAGCTGAAGAAGAAGCAATTCGCCATTGTTATGCAGACAAATTATTACCGTTTACTAAGGAAGAGTGGGTGGAAATGATGCTGTTGGATTCTGTATTCATCATGGAGCTTTTTCTTAGGATTCAAGGGGATAAAACAGAGTACGAGGATGATATCATATTGAAACAAACATGGCTGAACAAGAGTGTGCAGAGGGACCTGTTGCTGCTAGAAAACCAGATCCCATTGTTCATCTTGGAAAAGCTATATGCAACTGTGGTTCCCGAGAGAGATAAGAAGCATGGCAAGTTTATTGAACTCACCTGTGACTACTTCAGGTGTTTCCATCCTTATAAAAAGAGCAAATCATATTACGATGAAGCTAAGGGGTTCTCCGACAGGTTTGGCTTATCGGAGAAGAACTGGAAGAAAGAACCAATGCATTTCACTGATATGATCAGGTGCGTATGTTATTTTCACCTTTAAAACAACTACTATCTATAGTGAAAGGGACATTATATTGCCTAGATAAAAAAAATCTAGATATCCTCCCATGATATATGAATGAGATAACTAATTTGTAGAAATTAAAAAAATTAGTTAGTTAATTTTGATTAAAAATTTGGTGTGGGTTTCCTTAAAACACTATATTGAATCATTTGTATTAGAATTACGATGAAAATCTCTTGAATATATACAATAAATAAATAGATATGGTTTTGAGAAAAAATTATAAATTTGAGAGATTATATGGATTGAGGTCTTACATTAGTGTTAAATATACCTCCTAACTAGCTATGTTATATTTAGGACCAGATCGGAGTATAATTTATTCACAGATTATATTAATAATTAATTGCATATTATAATTAAACACAAAGAACTAACACATTCTTGTGAGGATTTGATTTGACCACAGGTACTTCTACCTCTATAAGGATCTGACACTGCGTGGAAAAGGAGCGTCTTGTAATGGCCTTAGGACTGCCACGAAGTTGCAGGAAGCAGGAGTGAGCTTCGAGAAAGTTTTCGACAAACACTTACTTGACATAAACTTTTTGAAGCATCGCATCTTAAGCTGGTTTCTATGCTTGGGATGTATATCAAAATTTACATGCTTCAAAGCCCGTTTACAAATCCCACAGTTGAAAATAGAAGACACAACCGAATGTGTTCTAAGAAATCTCATTGCCTTCGAGCAGTGTCATTACTCAGATCAACCTTATATCTGCAACTATGTCTTTTTCATTGATTCTCTCATTCACACCAAAGAAGATGTTGAATTGCTGGTTGAGAAGGAAGTCATTGTTCATGAACTTGGGAGTGATAAGGAAGTAGCGACTTTAGTGAATAGTCTCTGCAAACATGTTGTGACCGACAAGACATGCTACAAAAGCATCATAGATGGTCTGAATGGACATTACCAGAAGGTTTGGAATCATACAATGGCTTCGTTAAGGTTGGTGTACTTTCGAGATCCTTGGAGGGCAAGTTCAACTGTTGTCGGAATCGCTGTTCTCATATTTGCAGTTTTCAACTTTTATCGAGTTGTTAAATCAATATATTTACATCCCACAGCGCCACATTGGTTTTGATTATATATATAGTTGTCATCTGATATATATCATTGTTGATTCAGTAGGTTAATTATTTACTCTTAAGAAATGAATGGTGAAATGTATCTAAAATGATAGGTTCAGAACTTCTGGGAAAAGAAATTCATGGTGCTTATTACTATTTTCCAGTTCTTGCGATTTTATTGGAGAGGTTTGGGATAATGAATGATGATTGAGGGACCCAAAATGATTCTGTCTTTAATGTAATTACCTTCTAGATTGGATTAGTGTTGATTGAGAGAGTTTATTAAGTGTGGCTCAACAACTTCTTATGCTTTAGTTGTTGATTCTGATGAGAATTTAAGTTCGGGTTCTATTAGGTTTTCATGACTGATGACTTTCCCACTGAGTAAACTGTAGTTTTATGATTTAGTTATTTTAATTTAAGGTAGCATTGAGATTTAATCGGTTTAGTTTAATGTTGCATGTTGAATTTTACATATAGGTAAATTTGATGTTGAATCCGAATTAGAGAAATTGGAAATGTTAATGAATTGGTGGTTTGTATGATTATTTAAGTTTTCAATATTGGGCCGGAACCCGTAGATTCTTTTTTGGATTGAAAGTTATTGGATACAAACTTGAACCAAGTACAACAAAAACAAAAGAAAACAAGAAAAGCTGAGTTATGAATTGTTAGACTTCAATACTTATGATGAATTGATAGTTGGGGTTAAGTTTGGTGAAAGTGACTAGTCTCCCGTATCATGACAGATTAAAAAAAAATATATATATTGACAGTCTGGGAAAATTTCGGGTTTGAGAGGTGTTTTTTTTTTTTTGGGCCAAGGGTTTTAGAGATATTTTACTACTACTTTTTTCAATATTTTTGGGTTTATGAACAAATTTGTCTTTTTCCTTTTGTCTTTTTTTCTTTAAAAAAACTTTTTCATTCATGCCTTTTCTAAAAGGATACAAAATTAGAGTTTCTACCGAATGAATTTGCATGTTCAAAGAATTGCCTCTAGAATTAACTAGGATTTAACTTCGTCCTAAAAAAAAAGTGATTATTTTTTTTTTGGTAATAGAAAGAGGCCTCAGGCCCAGAAAACCAAAATAACCAAAAGTCAACCCGGGTCCATATTCCTCATATCATCACGCGTGGCCATCGAACTCATCTCTTCTTTGCAAGCACCTGACACCTTATCCTGTTCAAACTAGTTTTTCACTTCATGTGGGATATTATCCCAAACTCGACAACCTCCGGTCATATTCTTCCCCAGTTTTGCCAATATATCAGCGCAAACATTCAAATCTCTACTTATGTGACAGATTTGAATTTTCCAATTCCTATCTAACAGATCCAAGATTGTTCTTTGTATCCCAGTAGGCAAACCCACTTCCTTCCCTTTCAGTTTCCTTGCCAAAATGGCCGAATCTGTCTCAACACAAATCTGCCTAAAACCTTTATTCTAGGCAATCTCCAATCCCTTAAGGATACCCCAACTCTCCGCGTCAAGAGCATTACAAATTCCAAGACTTTGAGCAAAACCACAGATCCATTCTCCCTTTGCATTTCTCAACACTCCCCCACAACTCACCGGCCCAGGATCACCCATGCATGAGCCATCTGAGTTCAGCTTGACCCAACCCTGCTCCGGTGGCACCCACCTTGCAGGGCTCAAGGGAGAAGCTTCCGTCAACTTATCAATTACTCCTTCGCATCAGCAAATTCATAAGCTAAAGCCCAAATTTTTTGAACCAACAAGGTGCTACAGGGGTTCTTAGCTTTGAAGATTTTTTCATTCCGTTGCCTCCAAATGCTCCAACAGGTGACTCCAAAGATAACACACCAAGGTATACCCTGAACTTTTTGCTTGCTTTTAAGATTATTTATTACCCAATCAGTTTGCGTTTCTGAAAAAAAAAACTTTTTTGGTAATTGCTGTTACAAAGAATCTCTAACCACACCTTCCTTGCCCATAGACAATCCCTAGTAGCATGTAGGGAGGTTTCCAATCTACCACAGTTCTCACATGAGCCCTTAGCACCCCATCTACTCAACCGAAGTGCATTAGCATGTAATCTATCTAAGAGCAAGAGCCAGAGAAAACAACGTACTCTTTCTGGTCCACTCCATTTCCAAATCAGGTTCCAAAAGCTGTCCTTTACCCCAAGTTTATTTCTCCTTATTCTTCTATAGCCTTCCTTAACTGAGTAGTCCCCAATCCCCCCTTTCCAGAGTAGCAGATCTTTGCCATCTCCTTGGGGAGGGTGAACTGCCCTAATTCTCTCTATAGATTCTCAGTTCAAAACACCCCTGATTCTTTCCCAATTCCAGTTACCGTTATGGTCCACTACATCTGTCACCGTCCATTCTAGGTAGTCTTCAGCTACTTCTTGAGAGCAATGATTAATCAAAAGGAAATCTTCGTTGATCCATGGTTCGAGCCAAAAAGAAGTGGTTTTTCCATCAACTACCCCTTTCCAAGAATTCTCATGAAGGGTCTCCCAAACTGCATCTATATCTCGCCAAAAGGCAGAGGTACTCTTTGGGACTTGGAGGATTGAAGAGAGCTCCTTTCCAGAATTATATTTATGCAACAAAACTTCTCCCCATAAACCTCCCCTTCCATTTCTCAATTTCCAAGCTAATTTCAGAAAGCACGCCTTATTGAATGAGTCCAGATTTAAGACCCCCAAACCTCCGTACTGCTTTGGTTTTTGAATCTGTTCCCAACTCACCAAATGAGTCTTCCTAGCATTTTCTCCATGCCCCCAGATAAAGTCTCTCTGCAATCTTTCTAATTCTTCAGTAATACCTTTAGGTAGAAGGTTTATCATCATGGGGTACGTCGATATAGCTCCTAACACAGACTTAGTTAGAGTGACTCTTCCAGCAAAACTTAGGCAGCTCGCCTTCCACCCTGATAGTCTCTTTTTAACCTTTTCCACCACATATCTAAATTTTCTCCCTCTGCCACTGGAGTAATCCAAAGGAATGCTGAGGTATAGCCCCAAATCTTCAGTTTCTTTAAATCTAGCTAAACCAGCCAAAGTTCTCCTAGTTTCTGTAGAAACATTCTTGGAGAAGAAAATAGCAGATTTCTAAAAATTCACTTTCTGACCTGACAAAGCACCAAACTTCTTCAAACAACTTAAAGTAACCCCAATCTGCTCTTCTGTTGCTTCCCCAAATAACATCAAATCATCAGCAAACATTAGATGGGAGATTTCTGGCCCATTCCATCCTACGTTAAAGGCTTTCCACAGACCCTTGTTAGTTGCCCATTGAATCAAATGGGTCAACTTTTCCATAGCTAACACAAAAATATAGGGGGATAGGGGGTCCCCTTGCCTGATTCCTCTAGTTGGCATAAACCTCTCGGTCTTTTCTCCATTCCACATCACTTTCATAGAGACGGTCATAATACATTTCAAGATTAGATTTCGAAAACTATTCATAATACCCAACTCCTTCAGGATGTCATCAATAAAACTCCATCTTAGCCTGTCATAGGCTTTTTCCAAATCTATGTTCATAGCAAAGTAGCCCTTTCTCCCTCTCATCTGTTTCATAGAGTGAACAATTTCCTGAGCAACCACAATATTGTCCTGAATATGGCGTCCAGGAATAAAACTAACTTGGTTAGGGGCAACCACCTTGTTCAACACTCCCTTCATTTGACTCACAATCATCTTAGTCACACATTTGTAAATCACATTACACAAGCCAATCGGTCTCATCTGTTTCAAAGAATCAGGTCTATCCACCTTGGGGATTAACACTAATAAAGTGTTATTTATCTCCTTCAAGTCTTCTAAATCCTGCCACAGATGAACAACATATTTAATAACATCCTCTCCTATTATGTGCCACTTTCTTTGAAAGAAGACTGCCAGGAATCCATCTTCCCCAGGTGCTTTAAAAGCTCCTATAGAAAAGATAGCCTCTTTTATTTCCTCCTTAGTGATTTCTCTGTTCATACTACGCAACTCTTCTGTCTGTAAGGGGGGGAAAGAAACAGGGCAATTGTCAAACATACTTTCCTCCTTCACCACCTCTTCATAAGACTCAGAGTAAAGATCAACATAGAAATCTCTTGCCATTCGTCTTAGAACCTCCTGATCTTCCATCCAGTCTCCATTCACATCACGCAACATCACTATCTTGTTCCTCCTTCTTCTAGACACTGTTCGAATGTGGTAAAACTTTGTATTCCTATCTCCATCATTCACCCATTGTCTAGTAAATTTCTAGTACCAAAGGACTTCTTCCTGATAAAGAACCTCTTCGAGCTCTTTTTGTAAGTCAGCCTCAAGATTAATAAGAGCCCAACTAGATCTATTAAACTTACTAATCTTCCTCTGAATCCCATCTATTCTTGCCAATAATTTCCTCTTTCTATTTGAATATGTTGAAACACCTCCTTATTCCATTGCAGCAAATTAGGTTGAAGATCCATCAATTTATTCGTCAAACCCCCTTCCTCTTTCCAGCAACCTCTCAGCATGGCATCAAACTCTGAATGCATCAACCACATTGCTTCAAATCTAAACGGTCGCAGACCAAACCCATACCCTCTATCATTAGAACAAAGAAGGAGGGGATTATGATCTGAGCAGCTTAATCTAGCAAGATTTTTCACAATAGCATTTTGAAAGAGACACCTCCAACTAGTATTACATAGTCCCATGTCCAGCCTCTCGTACACTCTCTCATAACCAGATATAAGAGGCCCTTTCCAAGTAAATCTGTTACCAAAAGCACCCAAATCCAACAAGTTACAATTACTAACTCTTTCTGCAAATAATTCACACTTTCGAAAGTTACAAGGAGCTCCCCCCTTCTTCTCATTTTCCTCCATTATGTCATTCAAATCCCCTAGAAGAACCCATGGTTCTTGAGTAGCTTGTGCAAACTGTGCCATATCATCCTAGAAACACTGTTTCTCTTTATCTCGGGGACAAACATAAGCAACGGTAGCAAGCCAATCTTTCTCCCCTTGACCTTTGAATCTTAAATGAACATACTGGGCATTCTCCTTCTCCACCAAGCACCCCACTCCATCCCTCCATGCCACCCAAATACCTCCAGAGAAACCCATTCCTGGAACTGCTACCCAATTTTTGAAACCAAGCTTCTGAAAGACTTCACCAGCTCTAGTAGAGTTGACTCTCGTTTCTAGAAGACCAATGACATCAGGATTCCTTTCTTGAATTAAGAAACGAAGGCCTCTTTCAAACTTCTTACTTCCTACTCCCCTACAATTCCAGGTCATGATTTTAATATTAATCATCATCGTATAAAAGAAAATAAACAAGCTTCAGCTCAATCAATACTCATACACCCATCAGGCCCTTCCTTACCAACCTCATCTAACTCATAGTTATCTTCCATACAATTACTACTGGACTTCCCCAGATCAGGAGGTCTACCTGCCGACCCTGCTCTCACTCGCAACAATTCCTTTGCAATTTCAGGAGTTTCATAGACTACATTCACATCCATTTCCTGCAGGCAATCTCTGTCAATGTTAACAAATAGCTCATCTCTATTGTTAAAATTACTCTGTTCATCTATCTTACTTCGCTTCACAGCACTTGAATGTCCCTGAGGAATCAGGCAAGGGAACAATAGCAGAAGAAACCTGTAAGTCTCCCCCTTGTGCTCCTTGCATTCTCTTTTTGTACCAGACTTTCTCCTTCACATTACTTGTATTAGTTACAACCATAGCACCCCCAACATTCTCTTTTTGACCATTCTCTTCTTCCACCATCAAGTTAGCAAACCGAGATCCTTTCCCCTCATCTTTTTGAAGCCTAGAAGAGTTAACCTTCCCCTGATATGAGCGGCGTGTTCCTCTTCTGTTCTGCACCTTAGACCATTCCCCAAAAAGATACTCCTCCTTCCCTTCCTCATTTTCACGCATCTCCTTATTCCCCTCTAAATCCACCACTTCCTTCATCTTACACTCTTTTTCTGTATGACCATACATTCCACAACAAAAACATAGCAAATGTAGACCCTCATACATTATAACCCTTTCCTTCCCCTCAATAATGTAAGAGGGTACTAGAGGTTTCCTCAAATCCACTTGGATTCCCACTCTAGCATAACCTCCTCTTGCCTGTAAAGCAGTTGACATGTCTACTTTGATTGCCCAATTTCATTACCCATAGCCTCTAATATTCCTTCATCATAGTACTCAAGTGGAAGATCAGGAAATCTAACCCAGATAATAGCCTCCTCAATCGCCTCAACCCTAGGGTCAAAATTTGGGCACCACTGTCTAACAGTAAGGTAGCAATCTAAGATCATCCATGGTCCCCCCAATAACGCCAACTCATAGTCATCAATTGAGGTGAAGTTAACAATAAAGAAATCATTTGATAGGTCTACCACAGATACCGTTCCAGACTTAGCCCACATTTTTTGAATTCGTTGCTCCATACGAGCTAGCCCCAATTTCCTTCCCAGCAATTTAACAATTAAACTCCGCTTGAAAGGCTTTCTGATTCTTTGCAAGGCCTCCTTTGAGAGTACAAATTCAGGCACCAGAAATTTACCTCGGTGGTGTTTCACGATGGTAATATGAGCTTTCATCGCTCCAAAATCAAGGTCATTCTCCTCCTGGTGCAGCATTCCTTAGTCCCTCCCACTTCGCGAACTAGTTCCTTTAAGGGTATCAGAAAATGATTTGCGATGATTGCCTATAGCTTCCTCCCCAAACTCCCTTGCTTTAATTTTCTTTGTGCTTCTTTGCAGCAAATCCCCTTCCTCCTCTGATCGACAATCCTCCGCCCTCAACGCTGGAAACTCCGCCAAAGAGAGACTCATGCTCGCTCATTAGTTTATTAAAAAAAAAAAAAAAAAAGTGATTATTTGATTAACTAAGTATGTAATTTAGCTCATAATTATTTCATACTAATCAATGCCAAATCAATTAAATCAAGAATGCCTCTGGATAGATGAATTTGGATTTTGTATTTAAAATAGGGTAAATGTGCATCCATTACCCTGATTTTATTTTTTAAATACATCCAGCACTTTGATCTTTTATATGATGCATTTTGTGCTATGATATTATTTTTATGGAGTATGCAGCACCTCGATATTATTTTATTAGTCTTTAGGGTGTTAGATACACTAAAAATAAGATTAGAGCATTGGATGAACCATATTAAAGATCAGGATGCCAAATATACCTAAAAAAGAAGATCAGGGTGTTGGGAGTACTTTCTTTCTTTAAAATTTCGTCTTTAAAATTCAAATTGCAACCCTAGGTGGTTTTGTACAAAACATTAGATGACGAAGCAAAATATTCCAGGTTAGACTGTTGGAGTAAGTATTTGAAAATTTGAAAAACTGTGATTCTAAAATCTACTTGGATCCGTGAATTTCTATCCCTTGAAAACAAATGATTTGGCCCATAAGTCCAAATCCGAATCTTAAATACCCCTAATCCAACCACAACATGAATTAATCCAACAAGATCTTAGAGGAACGTGATTCTTCTTTCCATATTGTGGCCTCTTATTGTAGCCTTATTAAGAACACACACTCTGGATTTTAATGGACTTTTGATATATTGCTCATTCATTCTCTTCATTGCTCAACCAAGCCTTCATTAAATTAAATCAATCTATAAGATGCTTCTTTGATGTCTTAGATCGATGACAAAGATGTAACTCAATGAACGGCCAATATTTTTGAAGAAGGTGCATTCGAAAAGAAATAAATCAAGTGAATAAGTATAATAGTTATAACATGCTTAAAATACGTAGTTTTATCACTTCGCAACAGGGCAGCAATGCTACCAAAACTATTGACATATACCAAAACTATATGTAGTTTGAGCTTTAGCCTTTTTGGTGTTTTGGTTTTGTTTCACACTTTATGTTGATGATATTTGATTTTATTATTTTTTCTTTCATGGTATTGTTTTTCTTCTTCCCATCACAAATCACGAGTTAAGCTTAATTAAGCAAGAAACTAAGGAGGAAAATAACTCTAAAAAATATCAATTTATTTATTTTTGAAAGTCTTCCTATTCCCTGCTTACTTTCCTCCATGTACAAAGGAAGGATTAGTTAATTAACAATATCCTAGAAATAAAGTAGCACCATGAATGCTTTATTTATAAATTACATACATAGATGATGGCTTAACGTTTTAGAACACATCCACAAATAATATACGCCAAACACTGAACAAAACACCAGCGAGGAGATGACTCTGCAACCAAACTTCACCCAAGAGGAAGATCCTTTCACTTTATTTTATCGCGTGGCACATTCATTACTTAGTTTCCTAATTATAATCCAAATTAAAGATACTACCCCCAGTCCTAATTATAAGACCTCATTTGTATATAAATGAGGTCTTATAATTAAGAGTGAAGGTAGTATACATTATAGCTAATTAAGGTTGGCGGCGGCCTCCTTCAAGGTCAAGGACCAATCTAACAACCCGACAGAAGTTGAAGATTGTGAATACGAGGACAGCCGTTGCGACCAAAGTAGAGCTTGCTCTCCAAGCATCTCTAAAGTAAACTAACCTCAATGCAGCCATAGTGCGATTCCATTGTCTCTGGTAATGTTTGTTCAGATCATCTATAAGTCCTCTATAACATGTCTTGTCAGTGACCACATGCTTGCAGAGACTATTCACCAACGTTGCAACTTCCTTGTCACTTCCAAGTTCATGGACGATGACTTCCTTCTCAACCAGCAATTCCACATCGTCTTTGGTGTGAATGAGAGAATCAATGAAGGAGACGTAGTTGCAGATGTAAGGTTGAGTTGGGTAATGGCATTGCTCGAAGGCGATGAGATTCCTCAGAACACACTCGGTTGAGTCTTCTATTTTTAACTCTGGGATTTGTAAACGAGCTTTGAAGTGAGTGAAATTTGGAATACAACCCAGGCACAGAAACCAGCTTAAGGGTTGAACTTTCTGGAAATTTATGTCAAGTAAGGGCCTATTGATGACTTTCTCAAAGCTCACTCCTGCTTCCCGCAACTTTGTTGCAGTGCTTAAGGGAGACCCTTTTTTGCCAGCAATAAGACCTTTACAAATGTAGAAAAACCTAGTCAAATCGATCAACACAGAATGTGTTAGTCTGTGAGTAGCATAGTATCTTTTGTATATTAAACTTGTTATTTGGATTCTGCCATTAAATTTTCATCAATAATAATGCTCCAAATGGCTAATCAAGTGTTACGATTTAATTATGACAATATCAGCAAAAATTGTAGGAACTCAGCACTATAAGTAACAAACAGTATATTATAGCCGATCAGTCATTAATTAGTCCTTGAAAACAGCAATAGCATGCTGATAAACAGTAATAACATTGAAAAATGCATACCTAATCAGATCAGTGAAATGTTGGGGTTTATTATCCCAGAAAAGACACCGGTTGGAATTTGAGCTTCCAGTTTCTTGTTTAGAACAGTCGCCCTTTTTACAGGCATGAAAACAGTCAAAGTAGTTATGGGCAAGTTCAATAAATGAGGGACGCTTCTTGGAAGGGTTAGTGTCAGGGAAAACAGTCTTGTACAGCTTTTTTAAGATGAACATTGGGATCTGGTTTTCAAGCAGAAGCAGGTCTCTCTGGATAATCTTGTTCAGCCATGATTGTTTCAGTATAATATCATCTGAATATGTTTGATCGATCAGTTCGTCATCTTTCCTGTCCTCTTCTGATTTTTGCCTTTGAATCCTCAGAAACAGCTCCATGATGAATACAGAATCTAATAACATCATATCCACCAACTTTTCGTCGTCGATCTTATCACAGAGATTTTCTGCATAACATTGGCGTATGTCTTTTACTTGATCTTTAAGGAACCTCTTGAAATTGTCCATGGCTTCAGGAGTGTTCTTGATACGACCCCTGAAGAAATCAAGGTACCGTAGTTTCTG